TGGGAACAGCACAGAGTGCTCAAATAAGTTGATGTTTTGCTTGTCCAAAAATGCCAACAAAGTTTTGGAACGGTGAATGGCGACCCCATCTTGCGTAAATTACACGTTCGAATGGTTATTCTAATGCCCAAAAGGAAGCAGATGATTGGACAGTGTTACGACGTAATCATCAGACTTTTGGCAACCCTAGAGAAAGGCCAGATCGAGTTTGCCGAGGATGCAAAAACAACCCCACACCATGATGCCACCACTACCATTGGGACGCGTCGAATACGACTTGGTTTCACTAAGAAACCGATGCTCTACCACTGAGCTATTTTCCCTCACCCCATAGGGCAAACACGAGGCATCGTTGAAGAAACCATAACTTAGTGATTAAATAGATTGGTACTGCACACGCCAGTTAGTGCAGCAGCAGTTGGGTTGAATACGTCGTTTGGCGCTTCTCCTTTTCGTAGTCGTCCGACTCGTAGATCACGTCCATGCGCTTGCGGTCTTTGACGGCCAACGCCTTGGTGAACGGCACTCGCTTGCCAGCCACCACTTCGGCCTTGAACAGCAGTCGTCTAGGTGGTGATACGGGCGGCTTGATTCGTTTGTGGAACGCCAGAGGAAGCAAGTGGTGCTGGGTGTCGTGGGTCTTGAGGATGTTCTTGATTTGTTTGAGTTCAGGGACGTCGTCGGTCTTCTTGAGCAGCCACTGTTCGATGCCAGCCTTAAGTTGGGCTTCGCGTTTGGCTCCGAGAATTCCCATGATCTTGCACGTTTGAGAATGAGCCAAGTTGGCTTGTGGATGGTGTCGACACACATATGCGACATGCCAGTCGCGGCAAATTTATGGAATTTGTAATATGGGACGAGTCGATATTGTTCTAAGCCAATAAGATAGCGAGAATGTTTTGAAGCGCGTGTGGGATTGGTCAATCAAAATGAGTCTCAAAACCAAGCGGTGGTTCCATAGAATCTGTCCGGTCGTGATGACAAAGATGTGGCAGAGTCATCTTTGCTATTCTATCATGTACGTGTCTACCGGCACCGGTATTGAGTGTTCTTAATAAACAACGCTGGGCTTGAAGAAGTAAATACGTC